TGGATAACATATTTTTGGGGTGAGAGAGTATTGTTCTTTAGTTGGATTTCTCTTAACGATGTCTTCAGTACTATTAGGAGAGCATACTTTTTCACTGCCAGGTACCAAATGCGGAGGCTCAATAGAGTATAAGTCTGGAATGAGCATGACTCGTTTATGAGCAAGCATAGCTGGATTAAGACAGTTGTTGGTTTGGAAAGGGGTTAAAGCCTTAAGTGAACAAATCTAGCTAATGGTGAATTAACTTGCATACTTTTAATTTACTTTGGCTAAAGGTAATCTATCCTTCTCCATCCAGAGGCATGAGAGTATGATCGCTTCGGTGTCAGTTTTCTTGTTTTTTTTCTTTCCCCTACTCACTTTGTAGCAAGCTAGAAAACTGTGGATTCTGCGCAGGGCGGCTCTCGGTGAAAGTGGTTTATTTTGGCCACTGGAGAAAGAGGGGGTTGAAAAGCCAAGTGTCACCCGCCTGTGTGTTGCCCCACATACAACACTGTTCCTGTAGTAACAGCAGAAAGAAGCAGCTGTGAGGAGCGTGGCTCTACCAGTGAGGATCTGAGCTTTGGGCAGGAACTCCCATGAATTGAGACTTTTCATTCTGTTTTATCAGAGCGCATATAGGTCCTATTTCAGGAAAAGTAAAGCAGTCATTTACAAAAGAAAGTCAGTCTGTATCCTAAGCATTTTAATAAAAAGTTAAAACAAACTTGCTGTCTTTTTTTTTTTTTTTTTGCAGTGGTTTTGAGTTTGAACATTTCACAATATTTGTGCTGGGGAAAGCAAAGTTCTTTCCTATGTGTGGGAAGAAATATATACAATGGATGTGAGAGACTTAAATTTTGCTACGGGGGGGGGGGGGGGTGCGGAGAAGGGGAGAGGAGGCTAAGCCAGTTTACACATTCCACTAGAAACAATGAATTCAGTACTGTTTGAGAGCCTTGGAACATGTGCTGGTCCCAGAATTGGTGGTAATCTTTGAGACAGAATAGATAGGGCAGACTTTTGAACAAAATCTTGTATTAATATGCTAGCAAGGACTGGATCCATCTTTAGCTGTGTTTCATCATTTTATAAAAAATTGGAAAGATCCAGTTGAATGCTACATTTGGCAAAATAGAAAAAATGAAACCTTGTGCATTTACTAGGCTTGTAGAATGACCTGCTTTTAGAAACCCAAATGAGATTCTAAAACTAACGTGCCAGTATGAATATAATGGGAAACAAAATGCAACAGGTTCTTTTGAAAAAAAAATACACTGATTTCAGAGATGAAGGGAGAGGAGGAGAGAGAGAGAAACACCAATGATGAAAGAGAAGCATTGACCAGCTGCCTCCTGTATGCCCCACATGGGATGGAACCCGCAACCCAGGTATGTGCCCTGACTGGGAATCTAACCATGACCTCCTGGTTCAAGGGTCAACATTCAACCACTGAGCCATGCTGGTTGGGCTCAACAGGTTCTTTTTGACCAAGTATTCAAATGGGAGGCATCCTGCGATTGAAACTGATGTCCATGTTCCTATGATAGGAGACCATGGGTTCTATGTTCCTGTGCATTTGTGTTGTTTGAGATGGAGTGGAACATGAGAAGTAAAGGCTGAGTCAGTGAGCCCAATACTTGAGGGGTCTCACCTTGACTGTTGGCTGTGACTTGGGACTCTACTGTAATGTGCCATCAACAGAAAAAACTGACATAGACATGCTGGAGGCTTGAGAGACTTAAGAATCACTGGACGAGAGAGAAGGAAACAATTGCTAGGAAGTTGGGACAGCTGAGAGGTTTTGTTGCACTCAAGCATGTGTGTCACAGAACCAAAAAGAAACGATGCTGATTTCAATCCTGCCTTATAATAAAATGGATCATCGTTTCTCGTTCTCAAAACAGCTTTGTTACTGGGAACACTGAGCATTACCCCGTGTTACTAGTTTTATTCAAAAATTTGAGACAAATGTAGTATTTTAGTAATTGAATACTTTTCATTAATGCTAACAAATATGTCCTAAAATATTAAAATGTGTATTTTAGAGATACGGTGATAAATGTCTAGCTTGTGGCTTGCTTTGGGGATATCCTGAACCTTTCCCCCACAAACATACGCATGTTCCTTATCCTCAAAGATACTTCTTTGGAAAAGAAGGGATATTTTGTGTTTGCTTAGCTCAAAGATGAGAAACTATGCCTCCTGGGCTAGATCTGGATTTCTGCCTATTTTTGGTCTATGAAGGAAAAACAGAATGTTATTTTGTGACATGAAAATTATATGAAACTCAAGTTTTAGTGGACATAAGTTTTGTTGGAACACAGACATCTGTTCCTTTGGGTTTTGCATGCTAGGACTGCAGAGTTGAGTATTTGAGACAATGTATGGCCCACAAAAACTGAACTGCACTCTGGCTCCTTACAGAAAAGGCATTTGGCCCCTGACCTACATAAATTCTAGGAGTTATGTGAAATGTGCATACTGTAAAATCTAGGCTTATAAAATTAATATTTTTTACTTCAGCCAGTGTTCATAGTCCATTTTAAAGGGCACTTTTATTTGTAGCAAATTCAGCTTTCATGGGATTTGTAGTGTTGGGCTTTGTCATCAAAAGACACAAGATGTGCCCAGGCAGTGTTGCTCAGTGGTTGAGCGTTGATCTATCAATCAGGTCATGGGTGGATTCCCGGTAAGGGCACATGCCCAGGTTGCGGGCTCAATCCCCAGTGTGGGGCATGCAGGAGGCAGCTGATCATTGATTTTCATCTTGATGTTTCTCCCTTCCTCTCTGAAATAAACCTTTACTGGTATATATTTTTTTAAAAGACCCGATGTGCAATATTCTGAGCCCCATGCCCCCTAGTGGATTGCTATAGGGTTTACGTAACAAAATTTAAAAATATTGAAATGGGCCAAAACCGGTTTGGCTCTGTGGATAGAGCGTTGGCCTGCGGACTGAAAGGTCCCAGGTTCGATTCCGGTCAAGGGCATGTACCTGGGTTGCGGGCACATCCCCAGTGGGAGATGTGCAGGAGGCAGCTGATCTATGTTTCTCTCTCATCGATGTTTCTAACTATCTCTCCCCCTTCCTCTCTGTAAAAAATCAATAAAATATATTAAAAAATATTGAAATGGCCAAAGATTTCTTTCCCTTATTATTCCCGTCAGTGGTCGAACGTCACCTCGGCCTAGGCAAATGCTGACAGGTGCTGTCATGGCTTAGGAAAATCTAGCCACGTCAGCGGTCGTTTCTATTCTCTTTCCTGAAGCCGAACGACGAAGAGACCAGACTAAGCTTCCGAGGGGTCCGCCCCCTGCCCCTCCCGCAATCTCGGTGTAGCCGCAGGCCAGTCACTTTCCTGGGGCTCATCCGACGGGACTGCTGTGCCGCTCGAGTGGCCCGACCAACAGGGGAGGAGAAAGGGAAGCGTCGGCCTCCAGCAGCCAATCAGGACTTGGCCTCCGGTCCAGCCAATCAGGACTTGGCCTCGGGTCCAGCCAATCCCGGCCAGTGGGGCTCAGCCAATCGCGTCGGACGCGGAAGGCCGGAGTCCGTGTTTGCGCCTGTCGCTCCCAGCCCTGGGCGGCGCTGCGTGGGGTCCGCAGGTGCCGGTAGGGTTCTCGCTTGCTCCCCG